CTTCCGCCCACGGGACTCAGCAATTGCTGAAGCTGGTCCAGGACCCAGTGCAGAGCAGGCAGAGAGAAGGTAAATGGGAGGGAGAATTTTCCTTAAGGGGGGTGTTCTTGATCCATGCTGTAGGCCGGACGCAAGTACTTATCTTTTGCCAGTCGAGGGCTGCTTCTCATTGGTTCTGCATGGCCGAGTAGACTCTCTGTCACTGGGTCTCTGCCGGTGCAGAAAATGCTTCCCAAACACGGCTGCTTGCCTGCCTTACCACTCACCCCAAAGCTGATCAGGCCTAAAGGGCTCAGGCTCTCGTGCCAGGTCTGGCAACTCCTCACTGCTTCGGAACCATCTCTCCCTCCTTCTGCCACTCAGTCCAGTTCCTCAACTTTGCCTTTGTTGTTCAGGGCTCCTAGATTGTCATATATAATCAATTCACTTGTTTTTTTTGGTCTTTGCTGTAAGAGGGTCCACTGGAAGCGACTGACTACTCTGCCATCTTGGCCCCGCCCTCCAAGGGTAGTAATTTTTATTTTTATTTTTTTACCATTACTTATAGTCAGAAATGCATTTTCACTGTGACCCACTATACACACATATATGGATAACCGAAATTAATCAAATTTCACAGCACAGTTCTTATTCCTATTAGGTCTTCCTTCTTTCCTTCCATCCTTCCTTACTCCTTTTCTCCCTTCCTTCCTTTTTCTTTCTTTTTTTTTTTAAGCCTACCAGGCAAGTAAATAAACTGGCAAAAGCCAAAGGGAAGCAGAGCACAAGAGCTGGGGAGGAGGAAAATAAGTGGAAGCCTATCCTTATGTCAGGGTAAAGATGACTCCAAAGCAGGAACTAGCCTTCCTATCTCAGACATTCATATAATTTAGGGATATTAAATCATAAGTTGGCTAAAAGATTATTACTATATATATATATAAAAAGACATTTTTTAATAATTTGCTTTCTTAATGTTTTTTTCTTTTTTTGGGAATTTATAATACTGACATGAGTATATAAAATACTTATGCACACTTTAGAAATAATTCAAAACTTCCTACAACTGCTACTCTGGTTAGGCAATAAAACATTTCCCATAACGTGGAAGGCTCCTCTACCCCCAGCAATCTGCCTCCCTCTCCCCTACAGGTAACCATTACTTTGTTTTTAGCATTAATCATTTTCTTGTTTTTTTCTATTGTTTTACCACCTATGTATGTATCCCTAAACAATATAGGTTAAGTTTGTCTGTTTTGGTACTTTGGATAAATGAAGTAATACACAGCATGTGTATGCTTTTGCATTTAACTCCTTTCACCAAACATTATGTACATAATGGTTTTTTTTTCTCATTTTCACTGCCATATGTAATTCCACTATATAAATATACCACAATTTTTAGATTCATTCTACTGCTGATGAACATTTGGCTTGTTTTTGTTCGGCAATCACAGTTTATTTTTCCTTATACACATATTGGAGTCCTAGTGGCACAGTGATTAAGTACTAACCAAAAGGTTGGCAATTCGAATCCACCAGGTGTGCCTTGGAAATCCTATGGGGAAGTTCTACTTTGTTCTATAGGGTTGCTATGAGTTGTAACCGACTTGACATCAACGAGTTTGGCTTTTGGTGTTCTATACACATAAGCATGAGTTTCTCTCGGGACTATATCTAGGAGTAGAATTGTTGAACCAAAGGGTATGAACATCTCAACATTACCAGATAAGACCAAACTTTTCCAACTTACACTCCCACCAGCACTGTGTTTCCCATTGTTCTCTATCACTACTTGGTATTGTTAGATTTCTCAATTGTTGTCAGTCCGATGGGTGTGTTTTGGTATTTCATTGAAGTTTTGATTTCCACCTTTTCTTATATTTATTTGCTATTTGGATTTCAGATTTCCTTATTTTATTTTGTTCCATTTAAAAATGCTGGTTAGGACTCACTAAACTGATTACCCACAGTTTGAAAAACAACTGATCTAGGGCATATTACTTTACCTTTATGAAGCTATTTCCTTATCTGTAGAATGAGGATGACAATTTCATAAGGTTATTATGATGGTTGTGTTAGGCCAAAAAAATGTCCCCCCACAAAAAAGGCATGTCCACATCCTAATCCTTAAAACCAGTGAATGTTACCTTATTTAGAGAAAAAAAAAAAAAATCCTAGCAGATATAACCAATTTAAGAATCTTGAGATAAGATCACCCTGGATTTTTCTGGGTGGACCCTAAATCCCATGAAAGTGTCCTTTTAAGAGACACAGAAGAGAAGACATACAGAAAAGAGAAAGTGATGTGAAGGTGGAGGAAGCAATTGGAATGATGTGGCTACAAGTCAGGAATGCCAAGGATGGATGGCAGCCACCACAAGCTGGGAGAGCAGCATGGAACAGATTCTTTCCCAGAGCCCTGGAGGGAGCGTGGCCAGGCCGACACCTTGATTTCAGACCCGTGGTCTCCAGAGTTGTGAGAAAATAAATTTCTGTTGTTTTAAACTACTTAGTTTATGGTAATTTGTTACAGTAACCAAAAGAAATTAATGCGATGGTCAAATAAGATATTTTACGTGAAGCACATATATGGTGCCAAGCACACAGAATGTGCTCAGCGAATGATAACTACTATTAATGTTATTAAAGAAAAGAAAGCACATACGGCCTGACTCTGAGCATGGCCAACAGTTGGGCTGTTGCCCAAATCTCTAGTGATGTTTTCATTGTTAACCACAACATATCAACTCACTACCATTCTGAAAACAGTGTTGCTATCTCCTGCTGTGCTACCACCAGCTACTAGTCTGTGCCTGCTGGGGAGGCCTAAGAGGGACAATAGTCAGTTGGAATTTGAGTGAGTAACCCTGCACATCAGCCTGGATGCTGATGCTGAGAAGGATCTATGGACTCTGAGAAACGTAAGTGTCTTGCCACTTAGAGAGAATATGCTCTGACACAGGAGGCTTTCATGGACTTATTGTCTGAGGTTTCACATCAAGAAAATTGAGGGCCCATGAGGGGACAATGTAAGCCTGGGAGATACACCCAACGTAAATACCAATGCTCACTACTCCCTTACTCTTATTAAAGACTCTTTCTCTTCTTATTATGAGATGTTATGATGATGAAAAAGCTGCACTGGAGTGGTATTATGATAACTTTTGTAATATAGAAAATGTTTTGCCCACAGAGTCTTTTGAAAATGTTCATTCTGAAGGGCTGAGCTTATTGTATTGCTTATTCTCATGATGATGGGGACATCATGAAGCCAAAATTCTACTATTTGGCCTGGTCTTTGTTTTATCTATATTATTCCAACAACTGCTCAACTCTGGGCTGGAGGTGGATGGGGAATGGCATGGAGCAACAATAGGGAGGAAAAGGGGTGGAATCTTATCAGTAACAATGACAATTTTCAACAACACTGACTTGCTATCCTGATTACATATCTACTTTCTAGAAATAGTCAAATTTATGCCTGATTTTTAGTTGACATGTTCCTTTTCTGTAAAATCATCTAGATATTTAGTAGGTAATCTGGAACTTTTGGCAGCATTCTAAATATTGTAAACTTTTAAATAGTCCTTCCAAACAACCATACGAATACATTTTTTTCCAAGCCAAAACAGATACTCCCATGCTTGAAATGCAATTTCTAATTTATTCTTTTTTTTTTTAATTGCACTTCAGGTGAAGGTTTACAGAACAAATAGTTTCTCATGAAACAGTAGTACACATGTTGTTTTATGGCATTGATTAACAACATATTAACCCTCTAACTTCTCAACTTTTTTTTCTTTGGTAAAAATACACGTAGCCAAAGATACACCATTTCAAAAATTTCTACATGCGCAGTTCAGTGACATTGACTATGCTCTTCCAATTGTGCTGCTATTCTTACTGTAGATGAAGGCTTACAGAACAAAATAGTTTATCATTTAACGGTTAGTACACATGTTGCCCTATGACAATGGTTAACATCCTCACAACACATCAACAATATCCTTACTCAACCTTGGGTTCCCTATCACCAGCTTTCCTGTCCCCTTCTGCTTTCTGGCCCTTGTCCCTGGACTGCTGTGCCTCATTAGTCCCATTTGGTTTTATGAGGCTGTCCACTCCCCGGCTGAACGGTGAACCTCGGAAATGACTTCACCACTGAGCTAAAAGGGTGTCTGGGGGCCATACTGTCAGGGTTTCTCCAGTCTCCTTTAGGCCAGTAAATCTGGTCTTTTTTTGTGAGTTAGAATTTTGTTCTACATCCTTCTCCAGCTCTGTCCAGAACCCTCTGTTGTGATCCTGGTCAGAGCAGTCAGTGGTGGTAGCCGGGCACCATCTAGCTGTACTGGACTCAGTCTGGTGCAGGCCTTGGTAGCTGTGGTCCATTAGTCCTTCGGACTAATCTTTTCCTTGTATCCTGTTCTCTTCATTCTCCCTTGCTCCCGAAGGGATGAGACCAGTGGAGTATCTTAGATGGCTGCTCACAGGCTTTTAAGACCCCAGATGCTACTCACCAAGGCAGAATGTAGAACATTGTCTTTGTAAACTGTGTTATGCCAATTGAGCTAAATGTTCCCCAAGATCATGGTCCCCACAACCCTGTCTAATTTATTCTTAAGGGCTAATTTGCACAATGAAATTCTTTGGATGATTGGTTTGCAGTAAACATGGTGTACCAAATTGGTTTCTAAATTTAGAGAAAGGTTGAGTCTGCTCTAATAATAATCAAGAAATAATAGAAGTATTAATGATAATGAAGCTCCCATAATTAAAAAGTCAACGTCTGAAATAACAAGCAGAAATGAAGGTTAGCAGGTAGCTGCTACATAATTTATAATTTTTGCAAATGGTTATTTTGAGCTCTTTTCATGGGATGATGCAATCCAAAAAATGCAATTTACTAAATGATAGTATACGTACCATATGTACAATAATTAAGTTCCATAATCTTGGAGGATTTAATACTCTTAAACATAATTTAAAGATATAGAAAGTAGTGCCTAAAATTCTAAGAATCATAAAACAAAGGCAAAGTTATTTTAATAGATGCTATGATTTATTTCCATGTCTAATATTTTAAAAATTTTAGAAACTAGAAATTATTATTATATATAACTGTATTCAAGGAAAAATCTCATATACATATAATAGGATTTGAAGATGAGCTCTAGATTTTAAATACAGTAGACTCCATGTCCTTTCTTGGAGGTTTTTGAGGACTAATTTTTGGTAATATCTCTTTGGCATAAAACGTTTTATGAAGTCCGGCTTCTCGAAGTGCTAACTCAAAGCGAAGTCTAGGGTCAGAAATTATCTGTAGAAATAAAATACAATGTCATTAAATAGAAATTCATTGAACTAAAGAAAATGTATCATTTAGTTCTGTATTTCACCAAGCTGCATGATTTTTTTTTCTTTTTTTGACAGATGACTGTTGCTGCGTTTTGTGCCATCAAGTCGGTTCCAATTCATAGCAACTCTACAGGACAGGATAGAACTGCCCCATAGGGTTTCCAAGGAGTGGCTGGTGGATTTGAACCACCAACCTTTTGGCTAACAGCCTGAGCTCTTAACCACTACACCACCAGCTCTCTGACAGATGACTAGATGACAATAAACTTTGTGTATAGAAATGATTATATTCCTGCCATTTTTACACAAAATGTGCAAAACTTTCTGACATTTAACACTTTCCAGTACGTCAGTGGTTTCCAACATAGAATGTACAGAAAACTGTATATTTGGTTAGTCAAAATACAACAGACTAAAATTACTAAAAGATGTGATAATAGAAGCTTACTTTCCAGTACTATCATTTATGTATTACTTACTGATAGCTGGAATTGCAAAATACAGAAAACTAGCAGTTAAAATAAAAAGTCACAGCTTGTGCATCTGTCTTTAAAAGGCATTTTAATTTCTCCATCATTTGGCAATATGTAAATTAAGTTGAAACACATGGCCACTACTTGAAAAACGAAATCAATAGAACTTTTCTTCCAAGGCCAGATTTCTATTTCAAGCAGAACTAGAAAATGCGTCCATCAATCTGATTCTAAGTGGGAATAGACAGATGAGTAGTTCAGTTTCTGTTTTCATTTATAGCTGATTGGACCTTGTTCCTCTTACCCTCTTTCTATGAATATTAAATGTCAACACACACTATTTGCAATGATAAGAAGGTGGCCACATGCGGATTTTAGCTAACGAGGCATTTTACATGGACTTGAAGCCCCTGTAGAGGACAGGATAATAAGCTGTTGAAAGCAGCCCCTTCCTCAAGGAGCTCTTAAACTAACGAGGGTAATAAGAATGTACGCAGATTACTACAGATCTGCATCTTTGACAGATGCTTCAAGAGTTGTAAAACATGGAGGTACATCTTCCAGTCCCAGAAGGATGAGGTTGGTCTCAGGGAAGGATGTGTACTTGAGCAAGCCTTAAGTTCAACTTATTCTTCTATAAAGCAGAGGGGGTATGAAGAGAGACCTAGCAAGAAAGGATGGCATATGCAAACTTAGAGGTGAAATAGGTCAGTTTGGGATCAGGGTAGTTTGGGTAGAGCCCTGGGTACCACTGGGGGAATACTGGAAAAGGACATTTCTAAACTGGGAATTGAATTTAAAAGACTTGAAGGTCATACCAGGGAGTCTGGGGAGCTCCTGGGTATTGTGTTTGCTTCTGTTTTTAGCATGAAAGTAATATAATCATTGTAATTGCATAAGAAGATGGATCTAGTTGTAAGTTCAGGATAAATGTGGCGGGGAGAGAAGAGATGGAGGCAGGTAGAGAGGTTAGAAGTCTACTACAATTGTCTAGATGTGCACTAATAAAGGTCTAAACTTGGTGGGTAACAAGGAAGAAATAACTCAGAAACACTATGAAGGAAAGAATCAATAGACCCTGGCAACTGATTAATACAGGGGCTAGGGGCAATGATGAGTATGAAGTCAATAATAATACACAGATTTGTGTCTGAGAAGCAACAAATTCAAGCCTTGGACCCAGGTTTCCCCTCTTCTCTATTAATATATTCTCTCTGGTCTTTCTCATCCATTCCCAAGGCTTCATGCTCCACCAGTATGTTGTTGACTATCAAATTATCTCTGGGATTTGTCTCTCTTCTTATTCTATTTTTGAACAGATATGAAGTAAAATATAGCTCTCCCTCCTATTCTGACTCCCATCTCCCCAGTTTTCCTTCTGAGAGGCAATTAATCAGCTTCTTGTGTGTACTAAACATCGTCACCCTAAATATGACAGGAATGAGACAAATTCTCTCTTTCTAATTCTGTTCTTCCTTCTATATTCTTAAACTGTTAATGGCATCACCATCTAATGATTATAATTTACTGAGTTACCACTAGGTACCAGCCAATATTCCAGGCAGTTGACATTTATTATCTCTAATCCTCACAAAAACCTTGCAAATAATTACCTAATAAATGAAGAAAACAAGACACAAAGATGTTAATAGCTTACTTGAGCTCACATAGTTAGTAAATGGTGGATGTGGAATTTGAATCCAAAATTCAGGCTCTTCTCAATATTACATGTTGCCTACCTTGGAATAACCTTACTTTCTTTATCTTCTCCCCCTCTTAGCCAGAGCCATTCTTGCCCCTACCTCTACTTCATAAGGCTCCACCATCTTAAGAGGAACTGGTCCACCCCAATTCTCCATTAAGCATGCACTGATAAAACATAAATCTGATTATACAATTTGCCCACTTCAAAATCTTGCCTCTGCTCACAGTGTAAGGGCAAATGCGTTAGCAAGCAAGACCTACTATACTTTTCACAGTGTGACTATAACCCATGATTCTTGCCTCATCTCCCAGCACTCGCTCTTTATCATGCCCCTTACACTGAAGACATTCAAGGAAGGGACTGATTCTACCTTCGTCTGCTTGGTAAAATCCTCACTTCCTTAGCCCAAGTTCCTGAGAACTTTCCAGCTTCTGACTTTAATCCCTTACAAGCCCCAGTTGCCCTTACAGCTTTGTTTTCTGGGAGATACCTTTGCATCTTTATAATTTACTCCTCTCCATACTGGTCTGCCATGATCCTTTGTTATTGTTGTTGCTATTAAATCATCTGGAATGAATCTTTACATTGCTACCAAAAATCTTTGGCTAAGATGTAGCTTAAAAGTGTCCTCTCTGACACCTACTCTTACTTCCCAGTCAGGGTTAACCATTCCCATCCCCTTGTTGTTTCAGCCCTGCACTTACCTCCATTAAAGATTAGGTCTCACGTTCACAGCATTATTTCGTTACGGGCTATTTTCCCTCCCAGTCAGGCTCATCTGCTTACTCCCTCCAGACAGGCCCAGTCTGTCTTGTCCAGGTTGTATCCCTGGCACCTTATCACGATACAGTGTCAGGACATAGTTTATAGTATGTCTAGTATGTGTTCCATGAATACGTGTCTAATTAATCAATGAATGAATTATTCATCTTTTTATTCCCTAGCAAAGTATGTAGCACATACTAGAGGCATATTAGATTTCTTTGGCAATGGGTGAATGGATGAAACTTCCTGCTTTTAAAATAATTACATAAATTTAGCTTCTCTCCTTAGATTTGTAAAATTAACAACTACTTTCTCCCTTAATTTCAGTGATTCATCCATCTGACATCCTTCCTCCCTCCTTTTCATCCAAAAGATTTTTTTTAGTCTCTTATCAGTTCTAGGCACAGACTAAAATGAATCATAAGTTCCTAGAAATGGTTAAATAATAACTTAACACTTTTTCCATAGAAATGTTTTATTTTATCATTAAGTCTGACACATCATCTTCTATTCATTTTAATTCTGAAAGTTTTCCTCTGCTTTGTCCTATATCAATACCATCAGTTCTTTCTTTAATAGGATTTGTTATAAATTTAAATATAAATTCCTTAATAGAATAGAGCAATATTTAAATAACAAAGCACAATATTAACATAGAACTTTCGGGAAAAACTTTACAAAGTTATCAAAATTTAAAAAATAAGTCTCAATGATGGACTTCATAACATTTTCAGGTAAACTGTTTTTAACCTATGTTTATCTATTAGCAACTTTATAATATTAAGAATTATATAGTAACTAGATACTATCCTTTAAAAGTAAAAATTCTGCTAAAATGTGTGACATTCAAATGTAAACACCAAAAACCGTTTATATAACCTAAAACCATTTATAACACCTAACACATGATGATGATTACTGTCATCAACACGGCTTTTGCATAAATCATGCTGATTTCCATAATTACCTGCTGTTCATTGTATGTATTCAATGTGAAGAGTGGCTTTTGAAGAATAAATTCTTCAATTCCAATCCTCATCCTAGCTTTTGATGCCACTGTATCTGACATCATTCTAACAGGATCAAATTGAGCCACAATAGCAACCTGAGAGAAGAGAAAGCACAGCTACTTGAAACAGGCACATGCTAAATACTTCTGGGCAGCATTATTAATGGTTAATGTCCATTAAAGTTCAGAAATTTTACCAAAGATAAAACCTGAGGGAAGGGCAGAAAGAATATTAAAATCTGGCCAGTCCTATAGATGCACAAAGGAGTTAATGGTTTAAAAACAAAACAAAATAAAAGATTAAAAGGCCATAGTGTGTAATTATTTGCTAATGACTGAATAATTAAAATTACAATTAATTTTAGATACAAATTTATCTTTCTGATACAAAGTCATAGAGAACCTTACATAGAAACCCCACATATTCAATCACCTTGAAAGCAACCAAAGTAAAATAATAATAACCATTTTTTAACCATTAACAATTTATGGCTATGGTAACACCCCCATAAAGCTTTCCAGAAAGTTTAATCTGATTAAGCTGAGTCTAGAGCATATCATTCATGGGTCAATTTGGTATGTTAACATTACTGGGCAAGTTGGGTGAATTTCCAATGCACCAGACAACTAGATTTCCAAAGGCTGTTACAAACTACTGTTCCCACTTCTACTGCCATTATTTCAACCCAAATGCCCTTGTCGTTTATGATTATTCAAACCTGCACCCTAATGAAAAGAAGCCACTAATTTTGTAAATTATATGCACCATTAGTAACACTTGCCTGATAATTCCTAAAGTCAAGAATTGGCATTAAGAAAATGGCATTTTAAATGCCATTTAGAAGCCTCAATGATATAACAGGGCGTTGAACATACCCTAGTTATTGTCAGTTTCCTGGCCAAAATGTCTTATGCTATAGTTCTAAACACTGATTACAGATCACGGGCACAGATATCTCCTCTTTCAATGGGTTTGCAGATGGAAGGAATTTAATCATATGAACTCTCTAGTTATCAAAGTTTTATTTTGAACTAGAATATGTCTAGTAATAGTGGCATTAAGTTTTGTCCTCAGAAGGCCAATACATTATTTGCTAATGATCGAATAATTTAAACCTGCAGTATCTAGAATGATCAAGACTTGCATTTCTATGCTTTGAATTTATCTCTATTATCTATTTTACTGATGATAATTAAGAATATGATGATGTAATAGTCCCATGCATCTATACTTCATCTACACTAAATCATTTAACCAGACTTCCTTGATTTGACCCCAGTCTGACATTCACAAGCTGTGTGACTTTGGGGAAGGCACCTAGTCTTTGTGTTTCCCCAACTTCCTCTTTCATAAAGTGGGAACATCACTAATATCTACACCCTAGGACTGTTGTAAAGATTAAATGAGTTAATACAGAAAAGCATTTAAAACAGGGCTTTTCACTTAGTAAAAACTCAGTAAATGTGAACTCACGTTACCATATACCTATGAGGCAGGTACTATTACGATGATCTCCATTTTCCAGATGAGGAAATGAAGCTTAGGGAGGTTATGTAAAAGATCTAAGTTTCCTGTGCCAGTGAGTAGCAGAACCACGTTGTACCAGGTTCAAGGACACCAGAGGCCAAGTTCTTACCCACCGTGCTATCTTGCTCCACTGATATAGGGAAATAGTATCACTGAGGGAAACCAGTCATTTCCCATCAGCTGGGAAATGGTATCAACGAAGTCTTCACAGCTTGGGAGTTAACCAATCACTTCTGGGTTTAAAACTGAAATATTACCAAGTAAAACTATTTTATCACATTTCCCAAGCCCATAAATTCCTGCTCTTGCCATTCACTTTCTACTTTCGTCTACTTTTACTAGGCAAAGCTATGGGAGGCTTTTATTCCTCCACAAAAACGGTATCTTTAAAAACTGGTTGGTAACATGTTTGTTGACTGGGATATTTCCAAGCAGAGGTTTCCACCTCAAAGAGCATTATGTTGTTAGCGCTCCACAGGACTTTTGGAGAACAGTAAAATCCTTTGGCTAGATGCAGAGCTTCACTGTTGTAAATGGATACTATTTTGCTAATAAATTTGAGGTGATATGGAAACATTTAAATCTTGGGAGAGTTTTTTAAAAGGTGCTGATAAAATTCTTTTAACATACTGAGAAACTGTGAATGGTTCAACATAAATCTAATTGCTCCCACAAATGAAGATCAGTGTTCCAATTTGGAAAAGTTATATTTTATATAGCAGATGTCATGAACTAAGCCCCAGCAATAATGTTATTAAGGGCACTTGGAAACTTTTTTTTTTTTTTAAAACCACCCATGAAAATTTCCAAATTGAAAACACCTGTCTCCTGAGGGCTTCTAGTCGCCTCTCTCTCTCTTCTTCAGCGTGTGCTTCCTGAAGGGCCACTTCTTTTTTCTCCATCAAACGCTTTTCCAATAATTCTTGTCTATATTTAACCCTTTAAGAAATAATGGATACAGGAGTTGGGAAACATCATAATGATCTTGGAAATGGCATAGAATAAGAGAATAAAGTCAGAAGGCACTTCAGAGGTGACATCACTGTGACATTTTGTTATTACTTGTTTTGGGTTGATTTCTCATATCCAAATCATAAAAGACACTTGTTTTAAATGCAATTTACAGTAATCCTAATACCAACCAGAGAACTGCATTCATGGAGCAGGAAAGGGTGGAGTAAAGTCCAGTGTATCTCTGTATTCATTGAAATGACTTTGTTAACTCTCAAACTTTCTGTTACCTGCCACAGCGGCAGCTAACACGCCCCTGAGGGAAAACCCTTTCTTAAGTGGGTTATTATAGTGCTCTTCTGCTGAGAATTTTTAACACAATTTGAAGGGTTAAAAAGGCTGTATTACTGATTAAGTGTAAATATTTTTAGAAAGAATAAAATACTATATTTTATAAAAATTAAAATTCTATAACATAATAAAAAACTCATTGCCATCGAGTTGATTTGATTTCAACTCACAGTGACCCTACAGGACAGAGAACTGCCCTATAAGGTTTCCAAACAGCGGCTAGTGGATTCGAACTGCTGACCTTTTCGTTAGCAGTTGAGCTCTTAACCACTGATTATCTCAATTGCTAGAACTTGAACCCAGCTTTGTATCAACGCTCATTTTGTGTGTGTGTGTGTGTGTGTGTGTGTGTGTTTTCCTTCACATAATGCTTCCATGCCCCTGAAATCAGCAGGTATTAAAACAGGTCACATTTATCTTTTTTTTTTTTTTTTGGCTTTAACAAAGAGAAATTTATTTTCTCACAGTCTAGTAGGCTAGAAGTCCAAATTTAGGGCATCAGCTCCAGGGGAAAGCTTTCT